AAAATAATGTGTATTATGTATGAATGTGTATACAAACTAAAATTGCTCACGAGTCTAATGGATAAACATTCTTTAACCTCGACTTGTTCATTGAATGAATTCTATTTCTGGGTTTAAGTTAACTTAATTCATTTTACAATAAATAAACTTGAACTAGCTCCAATATGAGTCGATTCATAGTTATTCAGAAACACTTGGATCCATTTGCACTCCTATGAATCCCATCAAGATGGGCTGGTTCACGCCTGTAACTGTCACAGATACCCTTATCTAAAGTAGTTGTAAGCTAGCTTCGGACAAACGCAGATAAGATTCTTGACACACCAGCGAGTGGACTTATCGGTATTGGCTGAATTTCTCTCCGTGGCGTTATAGATTTGAGTCTTAAAGTTTACATTAGAATTTAATGATTGATTGTTATGTTAATCTAGTTAAATTCGTTCTTGAGAGGAGTAACGGGCACAATTAGGGATTTCATGAGCCACCAGTGAGGGCCTATCGGAGTGGTCTCTTAACGTTCTTTTTTGCCCTCATCCTTTTTTTTCTAAATGAGAAAAAAAAAAAGATAAAATTCTGCTACTTTGGAGGACATTTTGTAATTTTATTTAAGAAAAATGTAGAATACTTGTGCTATCATATAAAAATTAGTGTTGTTGTGCAATTAATATAAGGCCATATTGTAATTATAATTAGATTCATAATATGAAATAACAAAATATTTTGACTAAAAAAGTTAAATCTATATAATAAAGTAGTTTACAATTCAAATTTTAAAAGATAAATAAAAGAACTTTTGTTATTCGCCATTGAGATCGTTTTAAATTTTATTTTAAAGTTAATCTAATAGCTAATATTAACACTTTAAATTTAATAAAAAAAATAGGTCTTTAAAGATATGTTTAGAGTGATTTTTTAAAAGTACTTATACGAATTATTTCTTATAAGTACTTTAAAAAAATAGTGTTTGAAACCGTCCCACCACCACTGTCACCGACATCATTACTGCCACCACCACCGTCATTGTCACCACCACCTTCGTCTCCATTTCCGTCGCCACCCCAACCACCCCCACTATTATCGCCATCCCTTCCCCTCCATTACTGTCACCCCCCACCACCACTGCCACCGTCACCACCATCATCACTGTCGTCATCGCCACCGTCGTTACCATCGTTGTCGTCACCGTTGCCACCATCGTTGTCGCCACTGTCACCACTATCACTATCGCCACCACCACCATCGTCGTCGTCGTCGCCCCTACCACCACCAATGTTGTCGTCACTGCCTCTATCGTCACCGTCGTTGCCATCACCTCCATCGCCACCACAACCAGCATTGCCACCACCACCACTGCCACAAACTCCGCCACCACAATCATTGTCTTCTACCATAATTATCACCGTCTCTTATCACCACCACTGTCTCCCACCACCTCTCACCCCACGATAACTAATGTTTAAATTCATTTATCTTTGTTCTATATTTGTAATTTGATTTTGAATATGAATATAAATATATTTATTATTTATTATTTTTTTATTATTACGTACCTTCAGGTACAAAAAATAACTAGTACATAACTACCTTCACTAAACGAGATTATTCTCGGTCGAAAAAATAAAAGAAGGGATTGAGAGTATGAGAGAGAAATTGTGAGAGACGAAGATAAGGTGGTCAATTGCACTATTTTTAGTGCAATTGTACGATCCTCCAATGAGTGGTGACTTGCTTTTATTTCATGTCTGGTATGTAGGGAGCAAGACTAACCTTTATTTTCCATTAATTCTCAATCCTTATAATCATGTGTTTTTTTTTTTTTTTTGCTGTGTTGCTTCAATTGCGATTGAATTAAATTGCATGTTTAGTAATTTTGTAACTTGTCGAGGTTTTCTGTGATTAATCTTGATTTGAATTTTTTTTTTGTTTTATTAATTTCAATATGAAATTTCTTACAAGTGATCTATGATTGAATTCTATTTTCGTATAGTTAATCTTTATGTAGACAAATGTAAGTATAATATATAAAAAAAAAGACTAAAGTTTGTAATTCAAGGGTCTACCGTCAAACAACATATTTTGAAGGATATATGATAAATTTAACGGTCACTTATCAACGAAATCAGAAATTAAATATCAAGGCCTATCAACCTACCAAATTTAGTCATTTACTAAATAAAACGTTTCAACAACATATTAATTGAAATTCTAACTGTATTAGAAAAGTGTATTAATTTGTTTTCAAACTAAATATTTTACAAATATTAAAAAAAAAAAAACAAATTTGACCCGTCAAATAAAAAAATTATTTTTTTAATCAGATTTATATAACCCATTGGATTCATTATATCCATTTGGGATGAAAAGACTAAAATTCTTCTTATATGTGATCTCACATAGTCCCTATTATGAAAGTGTACTTTTATTTTTTTTTTCCAAATCAAATCTATAACCAATAAATAAATGTGTTTTTTACTCTTATTAATTTGACCTAATGGCCAAGCCAGTATCTCTAGAAACTTAAACAGGATTGCTTAAGATATGTTTTATTTTACACCTTCAAATAAATTTGTTTATTATGAATTATTTTAAAATTTTTAATTTATGTCTTATATCGTGATCATTCAAATGCATTCAAACGGGCTATCTCACATCGGATAGTTTCGGGTGTGTGAGTGTGTCTATAAGTCTCTATTTGTCCCTTATTCTGTTAGACTAAGGGGTCAGATGTGAATTCAAAAAAAAAATCGCTTTTAGGTCCATATGAGGCGGTCGGTGCTGGGCTAGAAACCCACTCTTTGGGCTATTAGGCCCTGCAGTCATGGTAATAACGCCGGGGTGTTGGGGGACTAAGTTATCCCATATCGGATAGTTTCGGGTGTGTAAGTGTATCTATAAGTCTCCACTTGGCCCTTACGTTGCTAGAGTTAGTGGTCAGGTGTGAATTCAAAAAAATATATATATATATACATTCAAGCATAATAGAAAAAACAATTTCATAGAAAATGTTAATTAAAAAAAATGAGTTGGCGAAAATGTGTGAATGAACTCCGGATTGTCTTTTATTGGATTGATGTTAAGGTCCAAAGGATATTGCATGCATAAATGAATGCCAAATAAGATTATTCTAGTGGTGACCATCATGGTATAAGTGAGTGTAAAGCATTAGGATTCAACTTGACGAGTGAAAAAATTGGTAGAACTAAAGCATAAGGGCTCATATGTGAGACGTGGGTACTAACTGGTTCGTGTATTAATTTGACCCAACTGATCGATAAGATTTTATTTGTTTAAAATTAAATTTAAAAAATTAAACGTACTTTCCTAATATTATAAGAATTGTAATTAATATTACATTGAGATTTCCATTTTGATAAAGAGATTATTTTGATAGGTTCTTGTATTTAATATTGGTCATTTTTTGTTAGCAACTGTTAGATCATGATCTAATGACTGACATTAAAAGTATCTACTAGAAGCTATAGTGCATAGCTTCGATGAACAAGGGTTAGGTTATGAAAAATTTATCTCTCATGAATATCTTAATCCCAGCATAGATGATCTGTCTTTAATTAAATCGAGAATGAGATTAACTAAAGTGTGCGTAAATTAGGTCTGACACATGTGATTGTTAAAACAAAAAATAAATTAATTAATATTCCTAAAAATTTTAGGTAAATGAAATTAGCACATCAAAAGTACTTAATTATAAGGTATTATATTTATATAATAAATTAAAATACAATTTAAATATCAAAAGATAAATAAAATGAGTTTTGTTTTTCACGGTTGATGCATCTTTAAATTTTACTTTAAAGTTAATCTAACAATTAATATTAACTTGTCAAATTTAATAAAAAAAATAAACTTATAAAGATATATTTGGAGTAACTTTTCAAAAGTGTTTATACAACTTATAACTTTTCATAAATATTTTTAAAAAAAAATAGTATTTGAAACTGTCCCACCACAACCATTAGCAACACCACCACCCCACCCCCATCACCACTAACACCACCATCGCCACCCCACTACCGTAACTACCCCCACCCCCACCCCCACCCCTACTATCATCACCATTGTCGCCGCCACCACCACTGTAACCCCATCGCCACCGCTACCATCACTACTATCACCACCACTCCACCATCATCACCATTACTAGTATCACTGCCACCCCACTACCACAGCGACCCCCACCCTCAGCGCCCCATCACCACCATCATCGTCGCCACCCCTACCATCACCTCTGCCACAGCTACCATCACCACCGTCGTCAGCCACCACCGATTATTACTACCATCGTCCACTAACCACCACCGTCATCGCTTACCCCATTGCACCTACCATTACTATCGCATTCCCCACCACATTGTCACCCGAAAGCACATGTCGTTGCCCACCACCACCCTCGTCACTGCCCATCACCACAACCACTGCCGCCATCATTATCGTCATTGTCCCACCACCACCACCACTAGCAATCACCGTCACCATCATCGTTCCTTACCATCACTCACACCCACTACTACCACCGTCATTATCCATGATTGTCACTACCAACATCATCACCCAAAACCCACCACCACTATCACTGTTGCCACTAACGACTGCAACCACCACCACGATGGCCGCCCACCACAACAATCATTGTCACCCACTATCACTATCACCGTTTAACCACATTATAACGGGTGCTTAAATTTCTTTTTCTTTTATTTATATTTGTAATTTAATTTTGAGTGTGAAAATAAATATATTTATTATTGATTATTTTTTTTATTACTCCATACCTTCAAGCACTAAGTATACATATATTTTAATATACACATTTTGTATGTTTGTATATATATATAATCATCAAGATTATAAAAGAAGACGTTTAAGTATTTTTCAAGTGAAAAGTTGTCCTTCTCAATCATTTTGTTAATCAGTCAATAGATAGATATGAATATTTAAGTAGTCATTTGTATAATGAAGTTAAGTTCGAGAGAGTGGTTCCCCTTGTACCAGGAGATATTCATGATTCAACAACCTAATTGGAGAAACAACGCTGGTACATTGTGGACTGGACTGACTGATCAACTTTTGCAGATTCAATGGCTCGTTCGATCCTCTTCCTTTACTCTCTTCTTACCCATCGCCGTATCTCACACTCACCAAAAGGCTTCTTCTTCATACCCACGACCTTAGCTCTCATCACCTCTCTCTTCATTCTCTTCTACACTTGTTCCACTTCAAATCTCTTCATTTATCCCCACCAATCCCCTATTCACTTCAAACAATCAACTGGGTTTTCAACATTTTCTTTACCCACCTACCCAATTACCCAAATTCCCTTCAACGAAACAGCTAACATTCCTTTCTTCGATGTGCCGAACAGGGTTAAGCTTGATGAAGTTCATAATGTTGCCAAGGGTGGTACTGGAGGAGATGAGAGTCAGTGGACTATGGAAGTTCAAATTAACTCAGATGGTATGCAAAGTTTGGCTTTTCTAATAAAAGGGTCTTGTTCAGTTCTAGAGTTTGTTTGATACATTTTATGGGTTCTTGAGTAGAGTTGTATTAGCATTTGTAGATGGGTCTATGGGTGGTGGATTGAAATGTGATTATTTGGGGTGTGTTACTTGAATTTCTGACATTGAGGTGTTCATGTTTTTAATTTCGTGCTTATGATTACTATTATGTTCTGTTCTGTTCAATTTGTTCTTTGGTATACCTAATTCAAATGAATTTTTCAAGTCAAAATCGTGACACGAATCAGGTTAAAAACTCCAATCTAATCTAACGCAAATCAAATTTAAAGCACATGGATCTAGGTACCTGCTGTCTTTGTGCACAAGTTAAAAGTTTGAAAAATGACTATCTTTGGTAAATTTCATTATAAATATTGTCAACAATGTCAAATAGCCTTTTCTTCATATTTTCTCTTTCATTTCTGTATTCAATCAATATTCTAATAAAAAAGGAATATATTAACATCAATATATTCCAAATCTGGAAAATGAAAATTCCTAAGTTACTAGTGTGATAAGGGATGATGAATATTTGTGTACTTTATTTTAGATTGTAATGGAGGTTCTAACTTTGTCAATTCAATGTGGTTGAATGTTGGAGCGACAACTTAAGTACTAATGTGAGAGAAATTTAGTTATTAATATTTTCTGAAATTAAGTTAAACTATCAACTTGTCTGCAGTCTGGTCTTTTTTTTTTTGTTGATTAAGTAGTATGGTCAATCTTTGAAATGGGATAAGAAATAAATCCCTCATTAGCAAAATGCGAGCGGTGAAATCCTCTTTTGTATGTGGGATCACAATGTATCTGCTTAAAAGGAAGGACCTTTCATCGTCCGGGTTCAAAGTAGATTCTATCACCTTATACAAAAACTATATATGTGCCACTCACACAGTGAAACAACATCACATTGTTGGTAACATGAAGCAATGGCTATTTTGAGAGGTTAGATTGTTGAACTTAGAGCACATGTTTGAGCCAGATGCTAGCCATTTTGTGGCTTACTCCCCCCCCCCCTTTTGTGTGTGTGGCCAGTTCACTGTTCACTCCTAGGAAGACTTGTGGATAAAATTACTTTCTTGGCATCTCTTTGGGTGTCGACGTCTAAAATCATTTCTTTTCTTTTCTTTCTTGGCGGGATGGGGTGTTTTGTTGTGTTGTGGGGTGGTATTTCCATTGGTTGTTCTGTACAGAATTTAGTTCCTTGACGTCTGGATTGGGCAAATTGTTGGTTTTATTTCAGGTTATGTGAATAACAACGAAGTGTTCCATGACAGAGAAATCTTTATGGAAAACTACAAGGAAATGAATAGCAGCCTAAAGATATATGTTTATCCTCACAGGCCAGATGATCCTTTTGCTAATGCTCTCTTGCCTGTGGATTTTGAACCTGGGGGTAACTATGCCAGTGAAAGTTACTTTAAGAAGGTTCTTATGAAAAGCCATTTCATCACCAAGGACCCAGCCAAAGCTGATCTCTTCTATCTACCTTTTTCAATTGCAAGGTTGCGGCATGACCCACGAGTTGGGATTGCTGGCATCCAAGATTTTATCAGAGATTACATCTTCAACATTGCTCATAACTACCCTTATTGGAATCGAACTGGTGGGGCTGACCATTTTTACATGGCTTGCCATTCCATTGGACGGTCTGCCATAAAGAAAGCAGAAGAAATAAGACTCAATGCCATTCAAGTCGTTTGTTCTTCAAGCTATTTCCAATATGCATATGTTGCTCATAAAGATGCTTCCTTGCCTCAAATTTGGCCAAGAAAAGGAAATCCCCCAACTCTTGCCTCATCAAATAGGTGAGCTGTTGTCTTTCCAATTTCTAAGTTCTACTTGTTGCATACATGGTCTTTTCAAGTCAATTCACAAAAATGCTCAATTATAGCTTCAATTGGGCAAAATAATCCTGAAAAGCATGTGCCGAAAATGCTTAGATTCATGTACTATGCATCTTACTAGTGCTTTGTTACTCTTCTTGAGCAATTTAAATACTTCTGTGCATTGAAAATGCCTTTGAGTACCTATTTTATATAACAAGTTAATTTTAGTTTTATACAACTTACTTCCAATGTCAGTTTTTTTTTTCTTTTTTTTTTTTTTGGGGGGGGGGGGGATCCCAGCAATCCTAGTGCTCACACACCAGACTAATGCTCGACCTCTCCTCTCCATGTGAGGTAAATCTGAGGACGTTGGTAACATGTGTATACACACTCCTAGTATATTCGAACCCTGACCTACACTGCTGAGGTGCTTATCAAGTTGCCACGCTACCATTAGACCAACCTCTTGGGGAAGAAAACAGAGCACACACACACACACAAATGGATTTTGGGAACAGATGATACAAGTACCACTCATGATTGAAAGCTTCATTTCAACAATGTTATATGATCAGTTGTAAAAAAATCTGAAAAAAAAGAGATCATCATCTAACTTGCTTCATGAACTTGAACTCAACTGAATCATCTGAAATTATTCCAGGAAAAAGCTAGCATTCTTTGCTGGATCAGTCAACTCCCCAGTACGCGAAAAGCTTCTTCAAACATGGAGAAACGACTCTGAGATCTCTGTCCACTTTGGTCACCTCAAAACACCTTATGCTGAAGAGCTTCTGGGGAGCAAGTTCTGCCTTCATGTCAAAGGCTTTGAAGTAAACACAGCTCGTATTGGTGATGCACTATACTATGGCTGTGTCCCTGTGATCATTGCCAATCACTATGATCTCCCATTTGCAGATATACTAAACTGGAAGAGCTTCTCAATTGTTGTTGCTACATTAGATATCCCATTGCTGAAGAAAATCCTTCAGGGTATTAGTAATGAGGAGTACTTAAAGTTACAAAGTTATGTTTTGAAGGTGAGAGAACATTTTCAGTGGCATCTTTTACCTGTTGATTATGATGCTTTTTACATGGTTATGTATGAGTTATGGCTCCGGCGAAGTTCTGTGAGGCTTCCATTGAGTCCTTTGGTGGATCCAAGAAGATAGGTGTGTAGATTTTATTTGAGCAATTTGTTGGTTCTAATGGCAAAGATTCATGTGTGTGATTATTTATTCATATCATTCTTTCTTTTTAACCCATTTTTATTTTCTAGTTTTTGGTTTAAGAAACCCATCTTACTACATGCCCCACGCAAGGAGCCACCTATCCTTGACAAATGAATTGTGGGAGAAATCTGGACTATACAACTGGTTAAGAGTATGCTGCTGACGTTACGACTCAATTTGGTGAAGTCACGATTTAATTTCAACATAAGGGCTTGCAACCAAGACGATGATCAATAGTTGGTCTGAGAGGATGATTAGCCACACTAAGGTCTGAGATATGGCCCAGACTCCTACTTGAGACGGCAGTGGGGAATTTTTCGCAATGGGTGAAAGCTTGACGGAGCAATGCAGCGTAGAGGTAGAAGACCCATGGGTCGTGAACTTCTTTTTCCAGAGAAGAAGTAATGATGGTACTTGGAGAATAAGCATCGACTAACTCTATTGTAATCTCTATTGTAATCTGGAACTAAGGTTCTTTCCCAAATTTATGCTACTTTAATTCATATAAAATGAAAACCGTGGATTATACCAACCAAATTACTTTGCAACTCCATTTTCTTGTAAACTCACTGCATTGAGTTGTAATTTCACCTCTATTTTGTAGTGATTTTAGCTACAATACGAAAATAACTCGTCAATATCATAGTCTAACAAAAACCCACCAAATGGCTTTCCTGAATTAGGAGGATTATTTGGATTCCCCCAAGAGCACCATAGAAAAGAAATCTACTCCATAGTCATAATTATAATATTTATTTAAAGAAAGTTCAGAAAAATTTAGTTCCAAATTCTACAGAAACCAGGTCTGCCTGTATGTTGCAAATAATAATACATGTATACAGATAAAATTTAACACTCAATTATAAGTTCACATCGATGAGCCAAGTTCAGAACACATGGGGCAGGAATAACTGTGATTGCCAAAATGCCTATTTACTCAGTTCATATGGCAGTGAATAAGCTAAGCACCCTTGTTGCTGTTCCATGGCTTGAGCACTCCAACAACGATGACTATAACAATTATAAGAAGGATGAGGATAGCAATGCACATCCATTTCCTTGAGTTCTTTTGTGAGGACTTTGCTTTTTGAAGGGCAGTATTCCCTGACCGCACATGGTCTACTGCACTTGAAACCTATGAAAATTAAACAAGAGATCAGAGATAAAGATACCATAGGCAATAAATACTACTGTATAGTCCCAAAAATGGCAGGTCATGCAGACTTCAATGCTCATTGCTTTCATAAGGTTCTAACAAGAAAATTATTTACCACATTTCATAAAATGAGTATGCATTACCTGCGATTCTATATTGTCAAGCATGTCCCCTTGAGCATCCACCAACACCGCCATATCCAGGAATATCTGCATGAAATGTCTGAAGATTATATACTCTATCTACCATTTATCTGGCTAATTTTAAGCGTGAGACCTTTTAAGCTATGGAAATTAGAAAGTTCAAATTCTTTGCAAAGAAAAGTATAGTACCCAATGGTTGGACTATGGATGCTTAAGTAATTACTTCAAGCTGTTTAAATTCCTGGACACCTGATATGAAATAGTTTCCCTCTAAATTTACCTGACACAACCGTGCTAAATTTCAACCATGTCAGTTCTGAATCATGAGAGCATAAACATCATGTGAGACCATTGGGTTCTGAAACTACCAACATCTACGACCAAGGTACCTTGTAGTGACTATGTATAGGTACAAAAGTGTCTGTTATTTGTAAGTCTTTTGAATGTAGCAAATCAATTTCCTTAAGATGTTACGTAAATGATGCAAACAAACAAGTAGATAAAGGTTCACCAAGCTCTGTTCTGGCCCAAGACAAACCTAAGATGCTAAGCTGAAATTTATCTTAATCTTGAGTTCAATTAAAAAAAACTACATTTGTGCCAAAATTACACATCATTCATCCCTCCCCCAATAACCCCAAATAAAATTTCAAAAATAGAGGCATAAGGTAACAAACCTCTCATTCTAAATCTAGTTCGGATCAAACATTTCCAGAGTGTATATCTTTCAAACTCAAGTGGTTGACTAATAGAACTAGCATAACCTCAATTTTGGATGGGCAGAACATGATAAGTCGTGAAACACAAAATTGAATGATATTGATCAAGTTTGAGCTCATCTGAGTTCTGGGTTTTTCCCCTTTATCATTGTTCGATAGATGATCCAACATTTGGTCTTTAATTGATGTGCTCAAAATCCACACCTATCCTCCATAATTTTCATGTAAAAATGAAGAAACTCCTGTTATCCTCTGAACCAGACTGAAATAGGACCATTAGATATCCATGTCTTATGCAAGAGTAAGACCTCCACCGTAAAAGAACAACAGAAAAAGCCATATAACGTTGTCAAATAATTTCCATTAATGTGACATTGTAAAAAATTGCAACGCTTCAGCAGAATGTGACCCTGGTAGAATGCCAGCTTGCATGTGGTGATTCTGAAAATACAGACAAAGTCAAAGCTTTGTGTCTTGCCATTGACTGTAAAGACCGTAGGCAATACCAATTATATGCCTCTCAAAAAATGGACTAAACCTTTTTAAAATTAGCAAAACAACAAGAAACACAGCAACAACAAACAGATAGGAAAGATACCACAGTTACACTCACCACTAGATTTCCATGTAGAGTAGATGCAGAAAGTTTCTTCTTATCACTGTGCTTCACTACTGCCAAAGATTTCCCGTTTCTCTCCTAGAATGCATCTCCTAATAACATGATTTCCACAGACTGCATAACCTCTCAAAATAAAAGCTCTTTTCACTTCTTGGTATTCTTATCAATTCTCCTCGGTAAGTATCCCTTTTCACAACCATTTCTCCTTAGGACAACTTTGTAATATGGCAAGTCCTTCAGCTCCTAACCAATTTTACTTAAGTGTGTGACCAGTTAATTACTTTAGGCCAATGGATTGGGGGGCCGAGCCTCTCTTTGGGCTTTTGGCCATATCATGAATGAGGATTGGCATGCCAAGTTTCCGGCTATCCTTAGCAATTTGGTTGACCATAATGGCATTATGATAGATGAAAAATAAAGCAAACATTCATAAATTTTTTTAGTTGGATAAACATATTCTGATGAATCAGTATACACTATTTGTAGGGGAAGATCATAATACCTGTTGCAACTCAAGAAGCTTCCTTTCTACTTCTCTGACTGCATCATGACGTTCTTGAATTTCTGAAAGGGTATCCATTATCTACAAATGCAACAAAGTATATAAAATGTGACCAACTGCCGTTACTTAAAGTAGCTAAAACCTAGGCATTGACGCTTTGGCGGTACTAAACTGTACAGCATCAGAAGCATAGTTGGACGCAGAATTGAAAGAATTGTTCCATATTTTTCTTCAGATAAAATCCATTTGGTTTTATCCCCCACAAGAGATTTTAGAAGATTATAAACAAAAAGGAAGGTAGAAGAGAAGAGGGGCATACCTGGCCTCGCCCTTGTTCCCAAATTGCTTTTTGAAATATTTGTTCGCTATCCCCAGTCTCTATCAATCTATCAATTGTCTGAAACAGTATTGAATAGTCAAAATATGTGCTTACAGAGATGCAATTTCATTGGAAGTTTTGGGTCTACCGAAAATTTCACCTCTTCATCGGCTCTGTTTCCCGTTACTGACCACATAAGCCAAGAAACGAAAACAATTAGTCGAAGCTTATGAGATTTCTAATGAATCTAGTTGCAGAAGCTCTATTATTGATGTATATTCAGTAGAAAAACCTGTAAAAACACGCCTCTCAACAACCTCCCGATACTCTTGGTGGATGTTTTCCCTTAGATTCTGCAAGCAATTTTTATAAGTGGAAATTGATAAATGCATAAGAATGGATGGAAAGAAAAGGACTCTCCGTAATATTCTCCGTATTGAACTTACCTGAAATTCAGACATTTTGTCTTTAAACTTCTTTTTCAAGGCACTACAATCAAACAGATTAACAAAGTGAGGTACTATTCACTTGATCATCAGTTTTCCATCAAAAGTAGCAATTTGGCAATCAATAACAGTTAAGTACATAATTCCATCTGCCTATTCTAACCATGGCAAAAAGGCAAGTAACTCCGGCAAATCATTTCGAAAAACTATAACTCACTAAAAAATAACAAAGTTGCAAATAATGAAATTCACCAGTTTCTAGCTGACTTCATCTAACAATTTCCCCGATCAGTTGTGGATCTTGGACAATTAGGGCCTTTAGAAGACCACATGCGTGAAGTAATGAGCTAACCAACATTAGTGAGATGTGCATAGCAGCACATTGCTACCGTGAAAATTACAACATTAACATCCAGAAAGTCAGTTAGCAGTTATAGATGTTTTAGGGGTCTCTAAAAAGCAGCATCAAGATGCAAATTATTTGAGTTCATATAGAAAATTAAAGAGGTCAGCATATTACACTGTTGTTGCTGTTCTTGATCGGTCTACACCTGTTCCTTTTCCACATCCAGGCTTCTGCCTATTGGCTAAATTCTGGACCAAAATTTAGGTGGAAGGGGCAAAAACTCACATAAGAGCTCCCAATGATCGAAAATAACTATACAGAATCAGTAAGGTCTCACATCTCTGTCAATTTCCTCAATTTTTGATTTAACCAAGCGAGCAACTTTTCCAACTTCCTCAACGTCTTTCTCCATTCGCTGCTTGATTGCTACAGGTCATGACAAGATCAATCATATCACTACCAATTGCAAACAGTCTTATGTGCTACATTGGTTTACAAAGAAACTAAGAATTGAATTTCATACAGACAGATTACGTTGATTTCCAAATTTAACATGGAACTTGTTGAGATCTGATCCATTGCTTTCAACCACACAAATGATGTGGGGCTTACAAATCTTGAGATTGTGGTTCTAACAAAGAAACCTCCTCAAATGCTCTGTCAAGCTTCCTCGTATTAATAGTATGAAGTAATGATGACCTAGTTAAAAGCATTGCATACTGAAATACAGCATGCACTAAAATAATGTTGTCCCAAGTTTTACTCCAGATTGATTGGTAAATCACGTAAAAGCAGATTGTTAAGCAACTATTTTAAGTATTGGGTAAAAAATAACTAGAACCAAGATATGAAGGAAAAGAAAAATTGAAGAAAAAAAATACTAGAAAGTGCATATAGATTTTCAAGAATATTCCAGTTCTCACAAATTGTCATCACAAGAATTGCATTGGTTGGTGAGACCAAATGAATATATGAACTTTACTACAGTGACACTGAAAAGTTCTTCATCTTTACACTGACAATAAACACTTCAAGGATGAGATAAAATATTTGGTATGGAGGAATCCAAATGTTCTGCACTCTCATCGTATACATGACGTGCCAACATTGTTTTACATACCATACAACATTAAACATTTGCTGCAACGAGATTTATATTACCTTTCATAGTCGCAGCTTTGGTCACAGCCTTTGATTCCTCATGAGCATCCTAGATACAAGAATTGCAAGAAAATCACAATAGAATTACATGTTATCTAGTATTCCACACTGGAAACATCAATTTCCATCGTTTCCATACATCATGTTGAGCAAATCATATTATGGCCAAATTGAAAACTCAAACTTTCCATATAATACCTGAACTGTACCAAATGATGACACCAAGTCTATAATTTAACTCGGGATGAACAGAGTTAAAGATATAAATGAGTAGCTACAACAAAATTCTTTCTGTTTGGGAACACGAAGGAGCAACATAATGATGCATATATGAAGAAGAATGAGGGAGAGAGAGGCCCATACCTGCAGCTTTCTGAGTAACTTATTCAGTTTATCATATTGTTTCTCAATCTCTTGAACCTAGCAAAGAAAGAACCCAGGCACAGCCTGGCGAATTAAGATTAAAGTGGTTTAAAATTTTCCTAAAAATACTTATGCAGACAACTTTAAATGAATCATGAAAACAGGTGTGAAGCCAATAACAGCAATCATTCTTCCGCCTTGGGCAACTAAGGAACTACAACAACAATAAGAAAAGCCACCTGCTTAAAGAAATTGTCCAATCCTAGTTCTCCTGAATTCATTGGAGGATGTCTCCCCATTTCTATATCTCCATTCCTCGAAGCTCGACCCTGAGGGATCTCAAATGAACCCTGAAACAGCTCATAAAATGAATACATGTGAGGAAATATAAATAGTCCACATCGAATGCTTAACCAAAATTATAAGATTAGAATATTTCTATAGCTCTACCTTCCCAAACATTCTAAATTCTCACAAAATACATAACAACAGACAGTAGTATGGTATGGAAGCATACCAAGGTCTCAGATAAGCTTAGAATTGCAAATCATAATGATCCTTACTTTATGGAAAAATAATCGACAAGAATTAATATTTTAATAGTAACCAAAAACAAAACAAAAGCCTCCATACATTCCACATTTCAGTTGTCCTACATGAGGGATAGACATTTGGAATGAAGTCTAGTAGCAAATAAGACTCCAGATCCTAGATTGAGAACCGAGGAACAATATGTAAGCATTGTAAGGTATAGATCACGAAAAGCCCAAACCATGTTAAGTGATGAATCCTATTGCATATTATTGAGAATGGGTTTCATACATTGGAATGGTGGGAGTCTCATTGAGAATGAGGTTCAAATAGATGCCAGGTAACTCAGCCACAACATCTTTAGAAACTAATAATAGTTGGAATGTCAATGCTAAGATGGACATGTGGCAAAACTAGGAATGATGGAACACACAATGAAATATCTGTGAAACGATAGAAATAACACTGACACTGCACTTCTTCTACACCACAAAGAAAACATGATGTAGTACCTGTTGATGGTAATGTGAAAGTATAGGACCATTTGAAGTGATTGGATTCTATGGAAGTTATAAGTATGAATTGGAGCATACAAGTTTGAATCTAAGAGCAGCCAGTTTGGGCAGATAATGCCGTAATTAGGTATTACCATCCTTCACGATTCAATTGGTTAATAAAGACTGAACTAAGTAATGGTCTTACTCTTACAAGATGCTTTTATGCTGCTGATTTCAAGAGCATTGGTTGCAAAACAGACATAAGGTGCTCATTGGCAAAACATTTAGTGTGGGGATCTTGCCCCATCTTTCTGGGATTGCAAAGGATGGGGTGGCCATAGTGACTGATATAAAACTACAGACAAAATTTTTTGATGCTATTTCACTGTGCCACGAAGGTATCATATCAAGCTAACCCAATTATCATGCATAAAGATGTAACTAGCACACCAAGAAGCATGCACATACTGGACCTAATACCTCAAACCCAGACTATATCAGTATAAGAGATGAGTCACACCCACCAAAAAAAAAGAAGAAATTGCTTGCTAAAAATCAAGCCAGCTAAAGCAGTAATTTACAACAAGTGATTGAACAGAGAAACAATAGCATATTCTTACTAAAGGATCTAATCTACCTCAAATAACAAAAACACAAAACTTGCAGTTCATCAAGCTGGATCATATGCAACAATTTACTAGTTTTCAACAGAGCTCCATTTGTTTGCCAAGAAAAAGAGGAAATATATATATACTAATTATTGCCTGTGCCTAAAGGCACAAAATAATAAAAAATGGTAAACAATAAATATATTTGTATTCATATCCAAAATTAAATCACAAGCATAGAGAAAAATAAAGGAATTTAAGTATCAGTTTGTAGTAGAGGTGAGAGGTGGTGGGCGGCAGTGTGGTAGTAAGAGACGATGATGACAGCGACGACAACGGTGGTGGTGGCAACAGCGGCGACAGTGATGGTGGGGGTGGGAGTAGTGGTGGCGGCGGGGGTTGGTGTTGGTGGTGGTGGCGGCAATGGCAATGGTGGCGGTGGTGGTGGCGGTGACGGTAGTGGTGGGGGTGGTGGTGGTAGCGGTAGTGGTGAGGTTGTTTCAAACACTATTTTTTTTAAAGTATTTATGAGAAATAATTTTTAAAAGTACTTTTAAAAAATCACTCTAAAGTCCAAACACACCCTTAGGAACCTATTTTTCTTATTAAATTTAAGATGTTAATATTAGCCGTTAGATTAACTTTAAAGTTAAACTTAAAGCGATCTCAACCGCGAATAGCAAAAATCATTTTGTTTATTTTTTGAGATTTGAATTGTAAGTTACTTTATTTATATACTAGTTATTACCTGCAGAGTAACAAAAAAATGGTAAACAATAAATATATTTGTATTCATATCCAAAATTAAATCACAAACATAGAAAATAGTTAAAAGAATTTAAGCATCGGTTTGTAGTGGGGGTGAGAGGTGGTGGGCGACAGTGGAGGTGGTAGGAGACGGTGATGATTGTGGTGGGTGGCAATGACTGTAGTGGTGGCGAGGGCGACAACGATGGTGGTGGTGGTGATGGCGACAGCGACGGTGGTGACGACGAGGGTGGGGGTGGGCGTGCGGTGGCGGTGATGGTGATGGTGATGGTGATAGTGGCAGTGGGGGTGACGGTGACGGTGGTGGTGGTGGTGGTGGTGGCCGCGACGACAGTGGCGGTGGTGGTGGTGGTAGGATGGTTTCAAATACTATTTTTTTTTTAAATATTTATGTGAAATAATTTCTAAAAGTAATTTTAAAAAGTCACTCCAAACATACCTTAGGGGCATATTTTTTCTATTAAATTTAAAGTGTTAATATTAGCCGTCAGATTAACTTTAAAGTAAAATTTAAAGCGATCTCAACCGCGAATAGCACAAGTTATTTCGTTTATCTTTTGAGATTTGAATTGTAAGATACTTTATTTTATATATATATATAGGCAGTTGAATGGAGCATTCGAGGAAATATATATATGACATATATAGGCAGTTGAATGGAGCATTCGCAATAACTAAAAAGGTGTACTGTACCAAGTGCACGATGCTCCTGCCATTCACAATAACTATAGCAATTTCACCAGATCATTTTTAGTTTTGTTTTTACTTCATGATATTTTCCCTTCAATTCAGATATATATACATAAAAATTGATCTTTCCTAGACTTTTTGATCGAAAAAGTTCATTAATATGTCTGAAACTAAGCCTGTTTCAGCTATTGAGCTACAATTTACGCGCATTTTCAAAACGAAATACGAATTATTCTGAGCCACACAAAAACAAAAGATTTAGAAAAGAAGAATTTACCGTTAAGAGGTCGTTCATATTGATTGGAAGATCGAATGCTGAGAGAGAGAATTGAGATGAAACAGAAATAATCAGGTAATGAGATCTCTGGGTTTGTCTCTCTATGGTATTACCATGGGCTTCCACTTCCCAAGAGAGAGAAAGAGAGAAGAGAGAAACCCAGAGACAACGATGACACAGTGCGTTTTCTGTTGAAACAGCCACATAGCGTGAGAGAGAGAGAGAGAGAGATTCAGTGACAGACCGTGAAGGCAGGGTAGGGTGTCTTTGTTTTTCTTTCTTTTTTTTAGGTAAATATTTTTCTTTCTCTTTTTTTTTCCATTATTAATTAATTAATTAATAATTTCTTCTCTAATTTTTCGGTTATAATTTACTTCATAGATATTGACAAGTCTAAATTCAGATCAGACCTTAACCCAATTTATAGATTGAACCCAAATTATCAAAAGACATATCATGTTTAGCCCATGATTTCAGTTCAATCCAAAATTCAATAGTTCAAGAAGAGACAACGTATATAAAAGAGCAATCATCAAGATAAATATTATAATATTCATCTCTAATTATAATTAACCTTCCAGACAAACTAGTACATTAATCTCCTGTCACTGTTTTACTTAGAGCCCTATGTCTATAAATTGTAAATTTTCTTCCACGTCAGGGTAAAATACACATACACACACTACACTTTAAGTGTACTTTTACTCTCTCTCCTAGTACCTTATATTCTCTCGTTAATAGAGTTTTTCGATCATCGATGTCACCTTTAGTGGTTAGGTCACTCAGACCTAAGTACTCAATCTTTGCCTCTTATTATTAATTATTTTATTAATTTTTTTATACTATACGCTCGATTGATTTAATTGTACATAATCAATTTTTTGTATTATCAGATATTGTCATTATAATTATAATACATGACATAAATTTGACACAATATAAATTCGGTTATTGATAACGACAAATGAATTGCATGAAAAAATTGAGTTGATTTTGATGTAATCTCACTTAAATATAGATTCTATATATTAACACAAATTTAAACATGAATTCAATGCTGATATACAATTTGAATGTGATGCGGGATCACTCGTTATCAACTCGGTCATACTCATATTAAAGATTCTCAATAATGTTTTTAAATTTTTTATTTAAAAACACTACAAAAACTTAAAGCACACGAAATCATGTCTTGTGTCATTTTCGGCACGTTTTATATTTGTGTCAATATTCTTATCAACGAAGAATTATTTAACTCTTAAATAATTCATATAATATTATATAAAAAATATGTATTTTTATTTATAATACTCATTAATTTTAATTATTTATATTAATTAATTATATTATTTTTAAATTTTGCGTCGGGTTGTCGGTATTTAATACTTCAAACACACACCCCCAAGGACTCATTTTTCATATGTTTTCTGGGTTTTCAGAAAAATCCAAAATCGGACATTACACCTAGTGGTGGGCCCATTGAAAGTGAGATTGTCCACCTATCGCCGCTTTGGGTTTTGGATTGTGTGGGGCTCACGTTCATGTGTTTTTTATACATTCTTTTTGAGATTGCTTATTAAATTGGCGCCCGTCTTCTGCCGCTCAACTTCTCCCGTTGAAAAAGAAGTGCAAACCCTTCAAAATCGTCCTCTACATTAGACTAATAAATATTTTGGGAAAACCAACTCAGGTGGCTCCGTTGGCCAGAGTCTTTGACTTTTCAACGAGTGAAATCTTCTAGAAGTAGTAATAGCGTAATTGTTTAGTAGGAGAAGACTTTAATTATTTGGATGAATAATATCTAAGTATCTTGTGTAGATCTTAAATTTTCGACGAAACACAAATTATGATTTTAATGGTGTATGAGTTAATAGACTAGTTCATATCCTGAACTTTGTCATTAGTTTTACTCCAAGTTACGAGCCTGAGCGACTTAAGCGCGTTTTTTCTCACTGAAGATAGGCCATGAGATTTCCCATTTCCAAAAAAAATAAAAAAACTTTGAGAAAAGAGAGTCGAGTTTGTTATTGGCCCGAATGCTCCACTCATAGGGGTATAATTTGGACGGATCAATCCAAGTTCAATCAAAGC